CCTGGGTATGAATGCAATGACAGAATGTTCCCTCAGAATCTCTATGACCTGCCTTTGTCCCTAGCACAGTGGAAGGAAAGCTTCCAGAGCAGAACCCAGCTAACTGTATCCTCAGTTCTGCTGGCCACTGCAGCCCCAGGGTCTCAGGGAGGCCACCTTCCTTCTGGGTCAGCTTCTCTGCTGTAGAATGAGAGTCTCAAGGCTTTGGGACATTCAGGGACGCACTGACAGAATTGTGAACATCCTTTATAGAAGCATGACTAGGCAGGCGCTCTGCCACTTGAGCCACACCCCAGCCCTTTTTGCTTTAGTTACTTTTCAGGTAAGGTCTCCCATTTTCAATCTTCCTACCTACTCCTCACCTTCACATAGCTGGAACCACAGGAGTAAGCCAGCACACCCAGCCCTGGTAATTCCTTTTCTATGTGAATATCCTGGTTTGGGGAGCTTGTCTTCTTGTAGTTATTGTCAGGTTGAGGCTGCAGTTTCAACCTTTGTTATTGTGTTATTTATCAGTCCCATCCTTCCTGGATTCCATGGTGGCTACAAGGTGACTTCAGGATAGAATAGCTCAGAGCAAAACATACAAAATGGAGGCAGGGATGCTTTTTTAGTTAATTTGTGGGCCCAAGTAAGGAGTCAGTGCTTTTCGGCAAAAGCAGTTTCTGAGCACCTGTTAAGAGTCTCACTCCAGCAAAGTGGAGTGACAGGGTAGGGATTTAGGGCTCTTCTCTCAGACTGCTTAAGGAAAGCCACTTGCCTATCCTCGCTTGCTCCTTAATCCCGAAGCAGTGTGTGTTTATGGGGCAGATTGGCCTATTTCCTGCCCACCCCCCCCACCCCGCCCCTGGAGAACTCGGGGTGGTTGGATGCTCAGGATGAACCATTCACTAGCCTGAATTCAGGGTCACCATGTCCTTGTGATTCATTTTGCATTTGTGGGGGACGGGAGGGCAGTTCAGGGAGGAGCCTCAAACTGCATCTCTGAAAACAGATTTGTTCTGAATGTATACCCCCAGTTGTTTTGTTCTTGCCCTGTAGGGCTTTAGGGAATAAAGCAGAATCTGAGGCAGTGGTGACCCTGGAACTAAATGCCATCTCTGGGGTTGACATGGGGGACGGCAGGGGAGGCAGTTCGCACAAAGTCAGTCCCTCTCACCATCTCCTGAGAGATGTGCTGAAAGTTGGTCCTCAGTTTACTTTGAGATCTATCCCATGATGTTTTTAGGCATCTCATTTGTATTCTTCACAGTACTTGCCTTGGGTCTCATAAAAAAGTTGGCAATCCTTGGGTGAGGGCCCAGGCTCAGAGGGTGGTCTTGCTGCAGATAAACCCATGAAGCAATTGAGCCCAGACATGTAGCTGTTAAGGTGGTTCTCCTGCCCAGCTCCCGCAAATGCTGTCATCAATAATGAATCAGATGGTCCCCAGCTGTGATGGTTCAGCTTATTTTTCAACTTTATCATGATGTGAAAGCAATATACCTTCAATAGAAACTCTACTTCAAAAATTGACTTTGGAATTTTGGTTGTTTCCTGGGCTAGTAATATGTTGTAAATACTCAAGGTTTTGGGTAGTGGCAGTCAGCCTGTGATCCTGAGGGTAAATGGCCAATACTCTACAGTGTACTGTGTGGCTGAATCTAGGATATTCTGAGGGTAGATGCAACTTCAGATATTTTGAACTCATGGTAAATTTATGGGACACAGTCCCATCAGAAGTGGAGGAGCGTCTGTGGTTGCACGCAGCATTCTCACAGATTGTCCAGTTCAGAACCTCCTGAGCCCTGTGATGACGCAGTCCCCTGGAGACACATGAGGACATGGAACTTCAGATGAAGTCAGGATCTGACCCCCACATCCTACATATCTGTCCCTCTGCAGCTGCAGGCAGACCCATGGGCTTTCAGAGACCTAGCAAGCTGCCACGTGAGTCGGCAGCTCTCAGGCCACCCCCTACCACATACTTCTCAGCTCCCAGGTGGCTTAGGGAGGTACAGGTAGGTCTTTAGACTCCAGTGGCTGACACCTACAGAGTGATTGGGCTTTGCTGAAGTTCCAGGCCAGGAAACACACAGTGGGAAGAACGAGAAAGGATGGTATCAAAGACAGACTGCCACCAGCTTGAAGGAGATTGAGCTGCAATTTGACAGCACCTAGGAATTCCAGTCCATCTGTTTGGAGCAATTTGAGGCTGGGGACTCGGCCTAAAAGCAGAGAGGCAGGGGCAGGGAGTCCCCTAGAGAGATGAAAACATTTTGTCCTCCAGCCTTCATAGTCTTTGCAAGACAGGAAATTCCTCAACTCTCCCGAGGCAGCCAGCTTTCCCGACCACTGCAGCCCTGTCAGAGAAAAAAGACAGATCTGTGTATTTCCAATCTTGGGCCCCCCAAGCCCACTCCCAGGACCTCTGCCCTCAGTCAAAGAGCAAAGCCTGAGGTGGGAGCATGAGAAAGCCACAAGTACCTGAGGGCCCCATCTTGTGACTGGAAACCAAGGACTCACTTGTCTCACTGCTCTCCCACTCCTGCTCCATGCCCTCCCCACTGACCTGCTCTGGGGAAGCTGCCTGGAGCCCCTGGGGCTTCCCCAGCTTCACCCCTTCCACAGCCCCAGAGACTAGAATGGAAGAACTTCACAACGGGCCTGATTTTCTGTTCAGTGGCTACAGGTAAAAATTCAGTAGCCTGAGCTGGATACCAGTGCCTCACCGCTGTAATCCTAGCTACTTGGGAGGCTAAGATTAGGAGGATTGAGATGCAAGTCCATCCCAAGCAAATAGTAATAGCTCTTCAAAATAACCAGAGTAAAATGCTAAAGGTGTGGCTCATGTGGTAGAGCACCTGCTTTGCAAGCATAAAGCCCTATGTTCAAATCCCAGTCCCGCAAAAAAAAAAAAAAAACGGGTGGCATGTTTAGAGCTAGGCCAGAAGGGAAAGCACCCTGGAGACTGTCCCCAAGGCTCTAGCTTTCCTGAAGAAGGTCTGGATTTGTGTCTCTGTACTGGTAGGAACCCAAAATAGCAGAGTTCCTCTCCCCCAAAACTTTGATTTTAAGTTAGAGATACACTAGCTATATTAGTTTGTTTTCTGTTGTTGGCCGATTAATTTATAAAGAAATGGAGTTTATTTTGGTTCATAGTTCTGGAGGTCAAAATGTATGGCACTGGCATCTACTCAGCTCCTGCACAGCTTCTGCTGTGTCATATCACGGCTGAGAAGTAGAAAGGGGGGGGTGACTATATGCGGAAGAAGCCAGTATGTGAGAAGGACCAAGGGCGATGCCAGCCTTGCTTTAGGACAACTGGTTCACAGAGTATTGAGTCCAGCTGCACAAGACCCAACTCTCAAGAGAGAAGTAATCCAGTATCCAGAGAACCATATCCAGTTCTTGAGAAAGACAGTAATAACTTCTTGAGCGTGGCGTCCCCATGGCCTAATCATATCTCAAAGGTCCCACTTCCAATACCACCATATTGGTTGTCACATTTCAAAATGACAGGCTGGGCTCTGAGGTAGAGCACTGGCTTAGTGTGGGCCAGATCCTAAGTTTGATTCTCAGCACTACAAATGGTAATAATAATAATAATAATAATAATAATTTCCAAGCTAAGTTCTGGTATATTTAAGCCATATCCAAACCACAGCACTATCCCTCCTGGTCTTAAGCCCAGTAAAAACACCCACTAAAAACAGAGAAACAAAAAAGGCTAAAAGTTACTTGTTGAAAATTAAAGCCACTTGGCTTATGGACACTGAGCAGAGGAGGGCTTGTCTGCACGTGAGGGAGGCACTTTCTATCCCCTCGGAGGCAAGGTTGAGGCCCAGCTTAGGGAAGAAGTCAAGAGTGAGGAAAGGCCCTCCTGTGAATCCATTTCAGCAGAGAGCTGAGTGGACCAGGCCTCACAAGAAAGTAACTCTGGTTCTTGTCCTTCCCTGGCTGATTTACCTCCATCTCTCCCTCCCTCCATCCATCAGGCTGGTTTTTTATTCCCAGTTTTTGTTGAGGTGTTAATGATGTTCAGTAAGCTGTATATATTTTAATTTATATATTTAATTTGAGGCTTGACATACTTACATATCCATCAAATCTTCACCCGACTTAAAAAATGAGCATCTCCATCACCTGTAAGCATTTCCACAAGTCCTTTTCCAATCCAACAGCCCAATCCCTTCCCCAGGTACCCACAAATCTTCTTTCTATGACTAGACTTTGCTGGGTTTTTTGTTTTGTTCTTGCAGTGCTGGGCAAGTGCTCTACACCCCCATCTAGTGAGCTGTACCCCTATCCCTATAAATAGACAAGGTCTCACTGTGTAGCTCAGGCTGGATTTGAACTCCCAATGGTCATGCCTCACACTCCCAAGTGCTGGCATTATAACTGTACACCACCATGTCCAGCTTTATTTTATTTTTTAAAAAAGAAGAAATGGGATCAGGGATGTAGCTCAGTGACAAGAGTGCGTGCTAAGCATGTGTGAGATCCTGGGTTTTTTCTCCAGCACTGGGAGAAAGAATTTACCTACTTGCTATGTATGCTATAAACGTAGATAATCTTTGGCAAGATGAAGAAGAAACTGAAAACTAGTTGCCTCTGGAGAGAGACATTTGATGACCAGGAAACAGGGGTGGGAGAGGACTTTTCACAGACTCTGGCACCTTTTGAATTTTGTGCTGTGTGAATATATCACTTACTCATAAGAGCAAATACAACTTATGGAGAAAAAACCCTCCTAAGGTTCTAAGTATTAACTTCTCCCTGAGGTTGAGGTACCCAGGCCTAGTATGGGCCCCACGGAGGGTTGCTATTCAGGCCCTGCTGTTAGACAACAGCATTGTCAAGCAGTGACATGGGACACATCTTGTTCCCAAAGACCTCCAGTGCCTCCAAACCTCATCTGTTAGCAGTCAGAACCTGAGCCTCAGTACAATTGTATCCTGAGTGTCATTGAGTCTATTTGTTGAATGCATGAAAGAATGTTCACCCCATGTTCTGTTGTCCTCCACACAGAAAAAAAGACTGACCGAAAGAGAGAACAGCTTCTGCCTCTGGCTCTCAGCAAGCCCATCGCACCCATCTTCCTACAGGGTCTCTCTGATCTCAAAGTAATGGATGGAAGCCAGGTCACCATGACAGTCCAGGTGTCAGGTCTGTCTCTGCATCTCTCTCCTCAGGTAGACTAAAAACAGTCATGGTTGCAACACGGGCATTGCTCCCTGAGGCCCTGCTCAGATCGATGACTTACCAGAAAATCAGCAAAGTTCCATCAGATAGTGACTCAAAGAAGTGGGGCGTCTTGGCCTTGCTTTCCTGCTCTCTGGAAGGATTTCTAGATTCAAGGTTAAATGGCCCAGAGGAAGAAGATGGCCATAGCTAGTGGGGAGAGGGATTAATGCAAAAACAATATGGCCATTGCAGCCAGAAGGCTTTGAAGATGGTGTGTTTTATGTGATTATATGAGAATTTCCAAACTCTCAGTCTGGGTGCAGTGGCTTAAGCCTGTAATCCTATCTACTTGAGAGGTGAAGATTGGAAGAATCAATATTCAAGGCCTGCCCAGGTAAAAAATTTGAGAGAACCCCCCATCTCAACCAATGACTTGGCACAGTGGTGCACCCCTGTCATTGCAGTTACGCAGGGGAAGCATAAATAGGAGTGTTTAGGCACAGGCCTGCCAGAGCATAAAGCAAGACCCTATCTCAAAACTAACTAATGCACAAAGGGCTGGCGGAGTGGCTCAAGCCACAAAGCACTTGCCTAGCAAGCTCAAAGCCCTGAGTTCAACCTCAGTACCACCAAAATCGAAAAAAGGAAGAAGATATTCTCAGTTGTCTTACTCTAAAACGGGCAGGGAAATGAGATTATGCAATTCACACCCTCTCTGAGCTATCCTAGGCCTTGCTGGAGGTAAGAGAAGCCTCAACCGCCCCAGCTCCATGCTCATAGCTGGGGACACCCATGGTTTCCTGATCGGCTTCCTGATCAGCTCCTCTGACCACTTAGAGGTCACTTTCCTGGTTTCTTAGTCCCTCTTGAACTGCAGAAGCAATAAAGATAAGCTGTGGGAGGACCCCGTGTACTTGCCTTTGAAGGGGTGCTCAGGTGGCCTCCCTGGTCCTGCAGGCTGGAGGCCCTTCCATGATAGCCCCAGACAGACATTGGGTGCCCTCCCCACCTGTGCTCACCAGGCCACTCACTGAGTCCTCGGTGGAAGTGATCAGAGGTGTTTTCTGCTCCTGGCCTCCAGGCATGGCAGACAGATGGCCATCTGCACATTTGTAAGCCTTTCCAGGGCCTGAACCTGCTCCTCCCCACCTCCCATCCTGCTTTGGATGCTGTTTCAGGGGTCTCCCTTCTTTGGAAGCGGAACCCTCAGTGGTGGCCTTTTTTTTTTTTTTTTATGTCCAAACACATTTCAGAAAGCAGATTGGTAGAACCTGACAGTGCTGTCCACCAAGAGTTGCATTTGGAAATACGATGCAAACTGGTGTCTCGGGACCATAAGCACATGGCAGCAAAAATAAAATTTTTTAGCTTTGTTTTGGCTGTATGGGGGTTTGAACTCAGGGCCTCACACTTGCTAGGCAGGTGCTCTACCACTTGAGCCACTCCACCAGCCCTAACGAAGTGAAATGTTGACTGACCTCTCTGCCAATGGCCTGCAAGGGAGTTACTATGAACTTGCCATTGCTGCATGTGGGTGTGTGCTGTGTGGGGCAGAGCAGAGCAAAGGACAGGTTCAAGTTTGAACTAGTAACCCATTACCACTAGTTTTACCCAGCTGATGGAATTCTAGTCTTGGGAGAACCATTGTTCTTGGGTTCTCTTCTTCATCTCTGAAATCATGTTCTCGCTTCTGGGTTCTTTCTAGTTTCCCCAAATCTGTTGTTTAATAGTCATGCCAAGCATGTATCCAGTGTTTTCTTTTACTCATTTAGTCCTCCCAAAAATCCCACAAGCAGGTCCTGTTAGGACCCCTACCGTGTGGGTGGGCAAATGGAAGCACATCGTTTGAAAGAGTGTTTCATACAGTATTATAGTACTAAGTGCAGGGTGGCCACCTGCATGGGGATGGTCCTCCTGACAGTCCCTCTGCCCTTTCTTGGTTCAGGGAATCCACCCCCAGAGGTTATATGGCTCCACAATGGAAATGAGATCCAGGAGTCAGAGGACTTCCATTTTGAACAGAGAGGTGCCCAGCACAGCCTTTGTATCCAGGAGGTGTTCCCAGAAGACAGGGGCACATACACCTGCGAGGCCTGGAACAGCGCAGGGGAGGTCCGCAGCCAGGCTGTGCTCACAGTGCAAGGTGAGGCTGAACCCCAGCAGGGGGAGGAGGGACAGGGGAGCTTCTGGGGCCTCTCCCAAGGCTATTTGGAGGGAAGGAAGACACAAGAACCTGCACTGGGCCCATCCAGCCCCAGAGGCAGCTCCCTATCCTGTGACTCAAGCTCTGGCTGAACGGGGTTGCCCTCACAGCTTCATGAAATCCCTGCCCTCTGTGGGTTAGTGCTGACAAGCTGCAGAGAGTTCTAAGATGGAAATCTGCAATGCTCTTAACTGGCAAAGGTCGTTTTTGAGGTGAGTTACTTTAGAAGACTCATATTTAAGCAGACACAGCAAGTGACAGCCCTACTGAGATAGATCATTAGCACCTGCCCAGGCCCCATGCCTGCTGGGCTCTCTCCCCATGCTGTGGATATATGATTTCATTAGTATTACCGTCTGAGAAGGGAACCACGACAGATTTGCATGGACAAGGATGTGCTGTTTGTATATCCAACAAAGTGGTTTCTGGACTTGCTGTTCTGTGTCTTCCAACCCTTCGCCACCACAGGGGTGGAGTGGACCCTGGGTGCCGAAGGGCCTCCCTCTCTAGCTTTCCCCTCTGCCAACTTCCAGAGCCTCATGATGGCACCCAGCCCTGGTTCATCAGCAAGCCTCGCTCGGTGACCGCCTCCCTGGGTCAGAGTGTTCTCATCTCCTGCGCCATAGCTGGTGACCCCTTCCCCACTGTGCACTGGCTCCGAGGTGGCAAAGCCCTCTCCAAGGACACTGGCCACTTTGAGGTGCTCCAGAACGAGGATGTGTTCACCCTGGTTCTAAAGAACGTGCAACCATGGCATGCCGGCCAGTATGAGATCCTGCTCAAGTGAGTCTGCATGTCCTGCCAGCCTCCCTGTCCTCTCCCCTCCAGATTCCTGCTCCCCTAACCTGGGACTTGGTAGCCAGAGGAAGTACAGGCTGATGTGGGGCTTGGACTTCAGGGTAAAGCAAGTTCAGTCTTGTAGCTAACAAGCTTTTGTTTCTGACACTTGAGTAGAATACATGTTCATGGAGAACCTTCCCACTGACCTCAGTTCCCTCTGAGCATCTGTCATTTTGCGTTCTGGATTTCACATATCGTATGGGGTATAGAGGATACAAAAGAGGGAGGAATGGATTAAAGGTGGAATGGCAGGAGGATATAGGGCATGTATTAGTTGTCTGTTGCTGTATAGCAAACTACCCCAAAACTTAGTAGCTTGAGACAAAAAAAACCTATTATCTTGTGGGCTGGTGTGTTAGTCTGTTTTCTGTTACTACAACAAAATATTTGAGACTGGATAACTTTACAATGAGGTTTATTGAGCTTATAGTTCTAGAGGCCCAATGCCAAGAACTTCATATGGTAATGGCCTTCTTGTTGGCAGAATCCTGGGGTGGCACAGATTATCACATGAGACCGGGAATGTACATGTGTCTTGGTTTATCTCTCATCTTACACAGCCGCAAGTCGTCAGTGATGGGTGCTCTACCTTAATGGCTTACTTAATCTCAGCTCTTTCCAAAGGCCCCACCAGTAAACACCATAGTTGGATTAAGTTTTTACCCCCAAATACCTCACAGTACAAATTAAATTTCAACACATGAAACCTTGGGAGACACACTCAAACCATACCAGACCATGGCAGCTGGGAATTAGAAACATCTTAGCTGGATAGTTTTTCTTTTCTTTTCTTTCTCTCTCTCTCTCTCTCAATTTTTTTTTTTTTTTTTTTTTTTGCTGACACTGGGATTTTGAACTCAGGGTCTCATGCTTGCTAGACAGGTGCTTTTACCACTTGAGCCACTCCACCAGCCCTGGTTTTTCTTTCTAAATTGCAGTCAAGATGTCAACAGGAGCCAAGTCTCTGAAGGCTTAACTGAGACTGGAGGAGTCACTTCCCAGCTCCTTGCCATGTGACCTCTCCTTGTGGCTGCTTCATGACATAGCAGTTGACTTCCCCAGAGCTAGTGATCCCGGAATGGGCATAAGTTAGACCCTGCAATGCCTTGTATGACCTGCCCTCAGAAGTCACGCACCTCACTTCCAACATTCCCTTTGTTAGAAGTGAGTCACTAAGTACAGCCCATACTCAAAGAGAGAAGAATTAAGATCCACCTCTGGATAGAGGAATATCAAAGGACATAGATGTTTTTAAACTACCACAAGGAAGGTCATTTTCCCTGTTCTAGCTTTAAAATGCTCCAACTCATAAAATTCTGTGCCAACTTTGGACTGATGGAGACAGCATGCCTGCCCCGGGCCCCCGGGGTTGGTATAAGCCTTGAAGAAGAGCTCTTGTCTATACCTTGATCTGCACATGGGAGGTGACGCCAAATCCTGAGGATGGCCACTCTGCAAGCTTTCTCTCCTAGACATTGTCATTTTTTCCATACTGAGCCCATCATTCATATTTAAGGCCCTGAGCCACAGACAGCCTAGCTACATGCTAGTGCTACTGTCATGATAGAGCACTGTGACTACAATAATTGAAAAGCCTAGTATCTATCCCATCCCTCAGGTCCTTTCTGAGCGTGTGTTTTATGCTATATCAGCTAGCTCTGCAGCATAACAAACCACTCCAATACTTAGTAACCTTTAAAACATAACCATGATGGGGTACAGTGGCTCACACCTATAATCTTATCTACTCAGGAAGTAGGGATGGGAAGGATTGCAGTTCCAGACCAGTTGGGAGAAAAAAATTTGTGAGACCCCACCTCAACCAATAAAAATCTAGATGTGGTGGCATATGCCTGCCATCCCAGCTACACAAGAAGCATAAATAGTAGGATCACAGAACAGGCCAGCCCAGTTAGAAACTTGACACACTACTCAAAAAAATACCTAAAGCCAAAAAGGCTGAGGGTGTGGCTCAAGTGGTAGAGTACCTGCCCGGTACGTGGAAGACCATGAGTTCAAACCTGAGTACCACCAAAAATAAAACGTGCTAATGCGGGCGGAGCTCAGTGGCTCTCAGTGGCTCTCAGCTGACTTCAGTGACCTACTTGTGATGAGCTGTAGGCTGCTTGTTACCTTACTACCATTAGCAGTGCCCTCAGAATATATTAACCACCTCTGCCTTGCACTTGAAACAGTTATTACCAGAATGGCAGATATTCCTCCAAAATGAGGAGCCCATACTCTTACCCCTTAGGCCAGTACAAAGGATGGGAACTGATCGGGATGTTAAAATGCATGTCCTGTACAGAAATTCTTGGAGTCAGTACTCACCTTAATCAAGCTAGACATCCCAGAAGACATGAGTTTTTGTGGGATTTTGAGGGAAAAAAGAAATGCTGACTCTTGGCCAACAAGAAAGGACATGAGTATTAAATAGGCTGAGCAAGAAAGTGTGAGCAAAGCAAACTATGGGAATTTTGCCAAGCCAGAGACGGGGACTGCATTGGGAGATCGACAGGCAGACTGTCTGGGGCCAGCTGGGGACAATCATAAAATTTAGACCGTCCCAGCTGGAAGGGACTTCAGCAGTTTTCTGGCCTCCTCCTCATTTAATAATGAGGGAAACTGAGGTCTCAGGTCATGGGCTTGCTCATGGCCACCCAAAGACCACAGATCAGCCTAAGTCAAGCCCTTGTCTTTTGACTTAAGTCAGATGCTCTTCCATTCTTATGGCCTAGCCTGGGCGGTGAGATGGGGGGTACGGTGGGGTTGTGGGGCGCAGTTCCAGTGTGCTGGAACCAGGGACTTGGGAATTTGCACTGGTGTATCCATCACTTCCCTCCCCAAGTCTGGCCTCCTCATTCCTCTGGGAGGCTGTTTCCCTGGCCTTGGCTTTGTCCCCAGCTGAGAAGGAGCAAGTCAGTGGAAAGTTCTCCTGGAAAGTGGGCCTGTCAGGGCCTTGTTCCCTCCCACTTTCCTTGTTCTGACAGAAATCAGTCCTAGACCCAAGAAAGACTGCCTCTTGAGTAAGAAGTCTGGACAGCTGAGAGGACAACCAGGGGTGCGTGGTAGGAAAAGGGGGTTCTATATTCCATGCTGAGATTATAAGGCAAATATGAGTGGGTTTCTACCCCTTCCCTACCAGAACAGGAAGTTGCAAAAAGTCAGTTCTAGCTAGGTGTGTTAGGGCACACCTATAGTCCCAGATACTCGGGAGGTGGAGGCAGGAGGATCACGAGCTTGAGGCAGGTTAGTAAGGCCCTGTCTCAAAAAAACAAAATGGCTGGAGACATAGATCAATTGGTTGAGTACTTGCCTAGCATGCCCAAGGCCCAGGTTTAATCCCCAGTAGAGGAAAAGAAAAAGTCAGCTCCAAATTCCCCCTGAAATTGCTTGAAACATTGATGCTCGCAAGGAAATTAGTTCTTGAAGCTAATTTTGCATTTAAAATCATCCCAGAGGTGGTTGATTAGGGTAGGACAGGATCCAAAACTTTGTAACCAGAGAGTAGACGTGTTCAGGGCTCAGGAAGGGGACCAAAGGGCTCTCGGAGCTTGTGACAGGTGCAGCAGACAGAGTGACAGTCCCATGTTCCCTGTGGTGCTTCAGCCTCACCCACGCCTGTGTCAAAGATGGCTGAAGATGCTATACCAGCAAGTTAGGTCATCTGGCATGTGAGTTCCAGGCAAGTGGTCCAAATGAACCCATAATTTGCCTTAAAAGCCCAGTGAAGATTTGAGTTTATGGCTATAGGAATAGCCACCCTAATCACCTAGTCTTGGTATCCCTGTGCTCTGACTCCTCAGCCACTCGGGTCCCTCAGAGTGAGGCCTGGGGGGTGGGTTGAGCAGGAGGCCCTGAGGGTCTTATCTGTGTCTGTGTTCCCTACCTTGGGGATGGATCATGGCAAACAACAGGAAACCTTACTCCTTCCCCATGGTCACATATAGATACACTTGTCTCCAGCTCAGGGGACAGGGTGCCTCACAATTCAAAGCCTCGTGGATGTGGCCAAGGTAAAGTGGGGCTATTTGATCAGCATCTGCTCCTGATTTCTGCATCTGGGCTGTGTTCTACTTGTGACAGGAGGAAACTCAACTGAGGATGTGAGGAAAGGGCTACCAGGTAAACACCGTCCAAGGTCATCTGGTACACCTGTTCCATACCAACACCAGACACTATAACACTGTGCTTGGAAGAAAAGTGGCCAGGAACCTGGCAGGAGTGGGGTGCCAAGGGGTTGGGCCTCTCCCCCAACATGCTCTTATGGGGTTGTTCTCCAAGTTGCCCGAGCCCCAGAAGCCTTTCTGAGTGTTGAGCACTCAGAGTGGCTGCAGACTTTAGTCTTCCCAGGGCCTAGTACTATAAGCTATGTGTCAAGCAGAGGAGCATCCTGGGCCCTAGAATTCTCCAGACATATGTGTTCCCTGAAAACCTGGGTCTGGAGGCAGGGACGGGCTGGGGGAGATTTAGCAGGTAGGAGACAGGAGTAAAAGAGCACAGGAAGAGACCTGTGCTCACAGCCTGGGGCAGTGTGAGGGCATGAGGGAGAGGGACCAAGATGGAGAGATCTCAGTAGATTAGAGGAGGATTAGAAGGTAGAAGAAATCAACCTCTTCTTGCTTTACATGGTCCCAGTGCTCAGGGGTGAACAGCAAACCCAGAGCCCCTGAGAAGCAGGGCCACGACTTCGACTGCCAGTCTCTGCACTGGGAGGAGACACAGCAGCAGAACATACACAGACACACGGGGAGAGTCCATCCCTGAGCATGGGACATGGAGTGTGCACATATTTCCAAACTGAGACCCAGGTACAGTTTCCTGCCAGGTGGACCCCATGCACATGTGTACGTGTGTCCATGTGTGTGGTTGATGTATACCTATGCACACAAACACAAACACATTTCCCAGAGCAGGTTGGTATTTATGAACATTGTAGGACCAGTGTTCAGGCCACAGGTCTTAGATTCAGGTAGAAGCAGGTCTCAATCCCTCTCCAGCATAGTTAGCCCTGTTTTTCTCACCTATAAAAACAGTGCTGGCTCCAACCTCTGACAGAGCTGTCAGAAATTAAATGAAATGGGTCATGTAAGGCAGCTATCACAAAGATTGGCATGCCTTCCAGGGGTCTGGGTCTCACTCAGCCCATGCAGTGCTACTAAGGTGGAACATCTGAGGGACTAAGTAGGACCCTGAAAGTCCCAAGCACTGCCTCTCACAAACCCCCTGAACCTCCTTTCCTGTCCTTCAAAATGGTCATAATGGTGTTTGGCACCTCTCTAGCATGTTGTGGGGAACAGGAAAGGCAAAAGATATGGCAGTCATGGGAACTGGAGGATGCAATATATAATGTAGTCTTAGGATGGCAGAGTCTGTCCTTTGGCTCTCAGACTGCACCCACCCTTCCTGTCACAGTGGACCCTTCTTGGCTGAGCGGAGCTCAGAAGCACCAGCAGAGGGCAGCCTTGCAGACAGGCGGACCATCTGCAAGTGAATGCACCCTGCAGGGACACGGCACAGTTGAGCCCTACCCTGAGCAGAGGGGGCTTCAGCAGGCCTTGCACCACGGGACACTGAGCAGTTCTGTAGTCATGAAGAATCCAGAGCCCTCCCCACTTGAAAGAAGAAAAGAAAGGGCCACTCACGTAGGGAGAGGCTTGATAGGTTTTTAACACGAAAGTTCTGATCTCAGGGCATTGACTGAAGAGTGGAGGTTGAGATGTTTGCATTTCAGGAGAAGAGGGGCAGTGACTCACTGCTGTGAGGGAGTTCAGGGTCAGACTTCAGGTCACCGGGCAGGTTGACCAGGGCCTGTCTGTCTAGACTCGGCAGCTCCAACAGGCTCCATCACTTCTATCAATTGAGTGATTGGTTGAATTTTTCTTTTTTTTTTTTTTTGATGGTACTGGGGCTCAAACTTGGGGCCTTCCATTTGCTAGGCAAATGCTGTACCACTTGAGCATGCCTCCTTAATTGATTGTATTATATAACATACTTACAGGAAAGTTTACCACTTCTAGATGCTTATCTTAGCTGCTATCCAGAGATTTTCCTTTTCTTCTTCCTTAGAAACAAGAGCTGGGAAAATAAAGGATGACCACAGGGTGAGAAACCCTGCCCTAAATCTAAGTTTGGGATGGATGTCACAGCTAAGCCTGTGACCTCCATCTTCTCTAGTTGGTCCACCAGCCTGCAACCTTCCATGCCTGCCTTGCATCACTCCTAGCCCTGGGCTGAGCAGGTCCTTTGCCCTTGGTCCTTATTGATCCCTTGAATTCTTCAGGAACCGGGTTGGTGAATGCAGTTGCCAGGTGTCACTGATGCTGCAGAACAACCCTGCCAGAGCCCCCCTGTGGTAAGTGCCTCCGGTCATGCCCCTGCCACTGCCCCCACCTTCCTCCTGGCCCCCGCAGTCCCAGCCCAGCAGCCCCAGTTGTTTGTATCCTCCAGCTGAAGCTGCCAGAGCCAAAGGGAGAGATTGGAAGGGGATGCAGGAGGGAGGGCAGAGGAAAGGAGGGGGTAATGTGTATTTCTTTTTTTTTTTTTTTCTTTTTTTGCACACACCCTTATAAGGCTACTGAAGTCATTACCGATGTAATAAACCAACTAGACAAGCGAGTGCCTCTCACCAATGTTCCCTTCTATAAACACAGCCTGGCTGGGCCCCCACCTCCCCTTCCCCCTCCTCTCTACCCTCCGCCCTCAGGGATTTGCTCTCCCTTGACGTTTCTGGCTTACCCAGCCCCTTTTCCTTCTGCTACTTTCCTTTTTCCCTTCACTGGTTGCAGGGGGCGGGAGCCTGCCAGCTGTGAAGGCCTCTGTGGTGGAGGAGTTGGTGCTGATGGTGGTGGTGACCAGGATGGGACCCTGAAGCCTGGCCAGCCAGCAAGAGGGCAGGGTTGGCCAGAGGAAGAAGACGGAGAGGACGTTCGGGGAGTGCTGAAGAGGCGCGTGGAGACTAGGCTGCACACAGAGGAGGCGATCCGCCAGCAGGAGGTGGAACAGCTGGATTTCCGTGACCTCCTGGGGAAGAAGGTGAGCACCAAGACTGTGTCAGAAGAAGACCTGAAGGAGATCCCCGCTGAGCAGATGGATTTCCGAGCCAACCTGCAGCGGCAGGTAAAGCCAAAGACTGTGTCCGAGGAAGAGAGGAAAGTGCACAGCCCCCAGCAGGTTGACTTCCGCTCTGTCCTGGCCAAGAAGGGGACTCCCAAGACCCCTGTACCTGAGAAGGCACCACCCCCAAAATCTGCCACCCCAGATTTTCGCTCAGTGCTGGGTAGCAAAAAGAAATCACCAGCAGAGAATGACAGCAGCAGTGCTGAGGCTTTGAATGCCAAGGCCACAGAAAGCCCCATGCCTGTGGGCAATGCACAGGCTACGGGATCCCTGAAACCTGTGGCCAACACCAAGCCTACAGAGACCCTGAAACCCGTGGCCACAAAGCCTGCAGAGACCCTGAAACCCGTGGCCAACACAAAGCCTGCAGAGACCCTGAAACCCGTGGCCAACACCAAGCCTGCAGAGACCCTGAAACCCGTGGCCAACACCAAGCCTGCAGAGACCCTGAAACCCCTGGCCACAAAGCCTACAGAGACCCTGAAACCCGTGGCCACCAAGCCTGCAGAGAGCCTGAAACCCGTGGCCAAGGCCAAGCCTGCCGAGACCCTGAAACCCGTGGCCAATGCCAAGCCTGCCGAGACCCTGAAACCCGTGGCCAATGCCAAGCCTGCGGAGACCCTGAAACCCGTGGCCAATGCCAAGCCTGCCGAGACCCTGAAACCCGTGGCCACCAAGCCTGCAGAGACCCTGAAACCCGTGGCCACCAAGCCTGCAGAGACCTTGAAACCCGTGGCCAATGCCAAGCCTGCAGAGACCCTGAAACCCGTGGCCAATGCCAAGCCTGCCGAGACCCTGAAACCCGTGGCCACCAAGCCTGCAGAGACCCTGAAACCTGTGGCCACCAAGCCTGCAGAGACCTTGAAACCCATGGCCAATGCCAAGCCTGCCGAGACCCTGAAACCCATGGCCAACACCAAGCCTGCAGAAACCTTGAAACCTGTGGCCAATGCCAAGCCTGCCGAGACCCTGAAACCACCTGCAAAAGAAGAATTAAAGAAGGAGGTTAAGAATGATGTGAACTGCAAGAGAGGACATGCAGGGACCACAGATAATGAAAAAAGACCAGAGAGTCAAGGGACAGCCCCAACCTTCAAGGAGAAGCTGCAAGATGTTCGTGTGGCAGAGGGTGAGAAGCTGCTACTCCAATGCCAGGTGTCCTCTGACCCCCCGGCTACCATCACCTGGACACTGAATGGAAAGACACTCAAGACCACCAAGTTCATCATCCTCTCCCAAGAAGGTAAATGAGGGTGAGGGTCAGGGAGATGGTGTCCCCTTGGGCTGGTTGATGGCCACTCAGCCCACAGCCCAAGTTGGAATGCAGGTGGGCCCCTGTTCCCCTTTACTCATGGGACAAGTTCCCTGCTCGGAGACCTTGGTACATTCATGCCCCTTGTTGGGGGTAAGGGCTGGGTTCTGTCCTTGTGGCACCTGTTGTGACTTGGTGTCTGTCTGACAGCCCTCTCCTGGCACCCATACTCCTGGCTCCCCACAGTATCTTATTACCGGGCTTGAGCTGATGCCCAATGGAGAGGGCTCTGCACCAGGCTGAGAAATGGGGCCCAGAGCTATAGCCAGCCAGGACTCTGAACCAAGAGCTGTATGAGAAGCAGCCCTTTGGATTGGAGGAAGACTGAGCAGTGACAGGACAGCCTGGGACTGTGAGTTGGGGTCAACTACAGCTTAAGTCTGGAGAGCTTTGTGAACTTAAAGGGACCTGAGAGGGAAGCCAGAAACCCAAAACTGCCCCAACGGCACGCACTCCTGGGCAGACAGAGATGCTTGCTTCCTAATTTGGATGAGAGTTTTGTTTGCTGGTGTTTCACATTCTTGGGTGGTGTGTGTTGAGGGGAGGTAAAACCTGCCATCCATGGCCTTTTGGGGTCTGGAGTTCTCAGCTGGACCAGTTTACACCTGGAAAAGAGAGTGGGATGAAGGGAGGTTTTCCCATGGCCCCTCAATGTGGTTGAAAGTGTTGTTTAAAATCCCAAGTGACAGAAGTTCCAAAGTCAGCAGGCATCCCACACCCCACTCTGGTGGCCAGTAGACGGACAGGGTCCTGCCTGAACTGGGGACTTTAGCCAGGGCAGAGCATAAAGAAGCTCCCCAAGATGTGTCATTTACCTTTGGGGACAGAGAGCAGCTACCAGAGAGGCCAAGTGGATAGGTCCCAGCAAATGCACATTAGCTGAAAAGTCAGGTGCTCTTCTTCTCCACTCTCTCCAGCCATCCCTTGGTCACACCCCTCTCCTCTCCCTCCCTTACCCCTCATCCTTCTCTGCCTTTCTCCTGAAACCAGGAAGGTGGCATTGGCAGATAGCAGTGTCCCTGTCGGCTCATTCTGTATCTTATGTAGCAAATCTGAAATACCCCAGCACGTGGAATCTAAACTGAAGGAGTGAAGAGGAAATTGGACATTTCTATCAGTTGAGGAAGAGTGTTATTTTTTACCAATGTGTTGACACAGGAACTTCTTCATATGGATGTCCCCAGATTGGCAAGGTCCTCCTAAAAGCTTCTATTCCATCCCCATCTGCTAGCTCAACCTGTACAATATCCACATGCAGGTGGCCATGGAGGACCACTGTGGCAGAGTGAGATATCCAAGGAAGGGGGTGCTGTCACCTTCCCCATCACCTCAGGGGGTTCTCCCAGTTTGAAGGCCCTTCAGTCAGTACGATTGATTGGAAGCCATTATCAGGAACATTTCCAAGGTTGCCCTGGGTAAGATGGGAGGGTAGGCAGTCCGCCAGCCTTGGGACATGTGCAGAGACACAGACTTACACAGTGTGAAGTCCAATCTCAGGGAAGCTGAGGTTCAGACAGTGAGGGTGAGCAGTACTCAAAGCTGTGCAGCTCTGGGACCTGCATGGGATTTAAACTTAGAGCCCCCTATAAACAGTCCATTCAACTGGACTGTGTAAGGCAGATCCCAGGCCCCAGTACAGAAACACTTCTGAGCCATCAGCCATTGACTTCTCTGGTTGCCTGCTGGTCTCTGGGTGTTATGCGAATGGAGACGCCAATCCCCAGCATCACCTCCCAGGGAAACTCTCCCAAAGGGAATAGTTTAGGTCCAAAGCCACAGCAGAAGAAATGATTATCAGAAAACCAGGGACTAGGAGAAGATAGGAGGGACTATAGAGAGAGAGCCCCAAAGCAAACTTTAAACAATATTCTAAATATTTTAGAACTTCATTTAAAAATAAAAATAGCTTCTCTGTCTTGGGCATCTTGCATTTTCCATTCACCCCATCCTTACAACTACTATGGCATCCTTGTCATAGAGAAACCAATTACCTTACACAAGGTTGCACAGCTCATAAATAACAGCTGGGATTTGAACTTAGGGAACTGAGTTATCATACCTAGACAAAAATGTTGAGAGACTGGTGATACCCCCTGGGCTGGTCACGTTCTGGTTATTTTTCCCTGTAGTGGAGGAAGTAAACCTTGAAATGGCCCTGTCTTGTCTCAAAATATCAGCCCCGCCTTCTGCCCCTGCACTCACCACATCATTAAGAGCAGAGTTCTGTTAGGGAAAGTGTTTTCTAAGACTTATCAGTTGCCACTTCATCAGGGAGCAGGGCATGGTGAAAGGTGAAGTGGCTTTGCTTTCAGTAGATCCTGAGAGAGGACATAGGCTCACATGATAAAAACTGTTGGAGCCAAGTATCCTTGAGTGGGTCAGGGGGAGCTCTGGGAGCAGGAGGAGCAGGCGCCAAGGGCTGGGCCGCAGGGAAAGGTTGCAGGGAAAGCCCCTGGCCTCCCTATAAACCCTGTGGCATGCCAGACTTAGGCAGCAGGGAAATGGGCAGGAGATAGGCTCTCAAGACAGGGGGTCCGCAGCAGCAAACACAGGCTGCCCATAGCCCAGCTGGGCTGGAGAACATACCTTGGTGCCAGTTTCATCCCACATCCTCCTACCAAGGAACTGGACTCTAAGAGCAATACTGAACCATGCAAGATTTTGGGGTAAGAAGTACCATATACAAGACTAAGTTTTAGAGATTTTGATTGACTCTGTGCCCCAAAGGCAAGTTTGGAGTCTACCGAAGAGGTCAGGGAGAAAAATGGTGAGGCCTGGACTAGCAATGGTAGGCCTAGCCACAGAGAAAACATTCCGTAAAAGAAGCAAGGTCAAAAATAATAGAACCAGTCACCTGACTTGAAGGGCAGGGTCGGGGGCATGGCTAGGTAGAGAGGAGTGACTGTCCATTGCCTGCCAGCATCTAGGTCACAGAGATGGTGTCAGTGCAAATAAAGCTGATAATTTGAGGAAAGAAGGGATGGCTATACCCATCACCTCATGCTCCCACCACCTCAGTACCTCCCTGCCCCCATGCCCTGACTTGGAGCCCTCTTTCCCTACTGCACTGACCCCTTCTTGTCATCTCTTTTGCCATCAAGATTCACTTTCTCCAGGATGCCTTCCCAGACCCTATTACGACTTTAGCCAAGAGAGACTTGAGCCCTCCACACACTGCTAGTGGACCCACCGTTTGTAAACTTCTCTGCTGTCTAGCTTGGATGGGCCTCAAATCCTGAAGACCCCAACCAGGAGATCTAGCACCAAGAAGATCCTGAGATGTGACAGCCGTTGGTAGGAGCTGACCATTAGTTAATGCTCAGAAGCACGGTCACATGGGCATGTTCTTCCTCTTCCTGCATCCCCAGAGCTGCGGCTCATGGTGTTCAGGTGCCACCAGCTGGACCTGCCCTCCAGGACAGGCACCTGGGCTTCCCTTTCTCCACCTGTCTTGGCTGCAGGCAATGACCCTATGAGCTGGGGCAGGGCAGGAGATGGCCTGAGAATCACTTTATCTTTCTGCTTTGCTTCCTGCCTCCAGGCCAGGCTTCCCTCAGCAAAACATCCTTCCAGTCTAACTAGGGGGATTTGTTTTTGTTGCTGTTGTCAAAACATGATTCATTTTTAATTGCCTTCAGTGTGGAATCTTGTGGAGGCTTTTTCAAAAATGTGTAAGTTCATCCTACTAAAGGGAGAGTTATGAACTCCTGCTGTGTGCAAAGGCATTATTTCAGTCCCTTTAGTCAGATGCATAATTTACCTGAAGAACTCTAAATTAGGATTTTTTTTTCCTTCTAGAAACTGTTTTGTTCAACAGTAGAGTATATTTGGTTGTATATTCCTGACCTTTTCTTGCACTGATCCTACCAGGTCACCTGCTGTAGAAATGTGCCTTTGTCATTCTCAGAATGGCAATTTTTTTTCTTTTTTTTAAACTGTGACTGCATTCCACACTCAGGGAAAGCCTTCATGACAGATGTGGTCACTGCTCTCAGAGCTAATGTGGGAGACAGGCATGTATTTCACTAATGGCCTTGAGAAATGTGCTTTGGTAACAGCTCAGGGTACCTTGGGAGCCTAGGAGAAGTGCAGTTAGGACTGAGGGCTGAAGGGTAAAGCAGAGGGCACCACACCTGGTAGCTACTGTTGGTGTGGGGCTGCCAGGTGGGCAGGTCAGAGAGACCCTGTTGCAGAGGCAAGAGCATCTGCCCTCATTCTGGTCCCTTCTTCCTCTCACCCCACCACTCAGGAAAGGAGAGAACTCGGGGGAAAGGGGAAAGGCAGTCTTCAAAAGCAGAGCAGTGACTCCCTAGACAGGAGGTACTTGGGTAGAGCTCCTGCTGAACCACTCAGAGGATTCCTGCTCCTGGTCTCTCCCATCCCCCTCACCCTCTCTCAAAATTCCCCACCAGGCTGAGGCTTCTCAAAAAAAAAAAGTGCTGGGAAACAGTTTTCTTCTAGAGGTCAGGAATGAGCTGTCCCACAGGAAATACCAGATTCTTCATCTGGGGTAGCAAGCTTGCCCAGCCCTCCCTCAGCCCACGCACGCATGTGGCTGTAGCTGGGGTCTGCTCTGGGGCTTGGAAGAGGGGCAGGGCCGTGTCCAATTGCACCAGCCTCCCCATCAGTTCACTACCACCTGCAGTGTGAGTCATTTTTGTTTAAGGCTGAAGGCAGCCCGGGACTGAAACTGAAAGAAACAAAGGCCTTGATCAGGACATTCTTGGGGATGGGAGAGCTGCTCCCAGAGCCTCAGCCCCACCCAAATGAAGGGAAAGTTTTGATGTGGAGTCATTTACCTCTAAGTCTTGACTGACTCCAGCTATCCAGATGAGTGAAAGTTCTCTGTCTAGAGTATCATTGAACTCCCTCTTCTATCCCCATGCCTCAAGGTTCTCACGCTCAGGCCAGACTTTCTAAAGTCCAACAGAAATCCTTTATGCTGTAGTTTCTGCCAGTTGTCTCCTAACCACAGTGGCAGAAACCATGGCCCACTGCCCTTCCTGCACAACAACAAGGGGAAGGGGATTGTAGAAGGGTGTAGGAGGTAAGAGTGCCAAGCAGCCATGCTGCCCAAGGGAGGTCTCAGCTTTCTTTTCTTCCTGCCTGAGTGAGGACTCCAGGGCTCAACTGATGCCATCCTTGCTCTCTGGACATCCTTGTTTTGGTCAGGTCTCTGTGTCCATCTAAATGGGAGGAGGGAATGGTAGTGGGTAGGAGTGGTTTTTGAGATCAGAAAGCTCCCTGGGAATCTTGCTCCACTGGCTTCCCTTCTGGTCTTGCTCCCCACACATACACCCAGCTCTGTCCACCTAGTGCCAATATTCATGGGTGGAGGGGGTGGTTGGCTCCAGGCAGCAGGATGCATGTGACTGTGTCTTCCTCCTCAAGTGATGGTTGCTGCCCTGACAACAAGGCAGCCTTGGGCAGAATGCTGTGCTATTGGCTTGTTTGTGTCTGATGGCAGGAGCCTAGGGCCCTCCTATCTGGCTCAGCAGACCCAATTCTTAGCTGGCCTCTCCCCATACCCTGGGGGAAAACCCAGGATGGTCCACAAAAGAAAAGAGGACAGTTGAGATGAGAAAGCTGCATGAACAAGGAGCAGACCCCAGGTTCCTATGTGTACCTAGCATGACTCCAGCCAGGCCAGAAGAGATATGTCAGGTACAAGGGTAGACCAGGCGAGGGACCATAGGGAAAGAGCCCATCCCCACTCTCCTCTGAAGCAGCCAGAAGACGCAGCTTTGAGGGCGTGGAGCCCCAGGTACCTCTCTGCTGGCCCAGTGTTCCCCATTTATCCCAATTCTTCAGCTCACGCCCCTTCCTAAAAAGCCAGTGTTACAGTTCTTCCTGAAGGCAAGTGTCCCTGCTGTACAAGGGGTCCCATCTCTCCAATCCACCTCTTTGCTCAAAGCTCCCCTTTCCAAAAAGCATTCCAAAAGTCACTGCTGGGCCCTCTCTGGTCACTTTCTCCAGGACAGGTCTGTAACCACTACCTGACTCCTTATCCTTGTGGTAAGGGGCCTGGTGTGTAGGACTGTGTCCATCTTCCTCTACTGCATCAGATGCTCTCCAGGGACAGAGTCTATCTCTCTTCTCCTCCTCCTGCAGCAGGCCATTGTATCCCCAAACCTCTTTGTGAGGGACTCTGGTGAGAGAGGGTTGCTTTGTTAGGAATCAGCTCTTCTGGATGAGGTTATCAGTAGACCATGAACTGGCCCCTGAGAGGCGGGGGTTGATTCCACAGGCCTCTGTTCCTGGGCTCCCTGAGGCTGCTATGAGAAGACACTCCTCTGCCATGCTCCAGATACCAGGTAATGGGATCCTACCTGGGTTATTCACCAGTTCTCCCTGTTTTCCCCAGGCTCACTCTGCTCCGTCTCCATCGAGAAGGCACTGCCCGAAGACAGAGGCCTGTACAAGTGTATAGCCAAGAATGGTGCCGGCCAGGCAGAGTGTTCCTGCCAAGTCACTGTGGATGGTAAGTCATGCCCTCCCATTGTCACCACATACAGGGTCTCATCTCTCAGCCCTCCTGCACCTGAATGAAATTGCCCCCAACTGTCTCTATCCCTACCTAGGCAATCATTTGGTGAGACTCAAGTTATCTTTTGCAAAAATGAGACAGGAAGGAAAGTAACAGCCCTTCTTGATCACCCACGTGGCCTCTTCCTGCACCCCTCCACCGAGAGGAGGTGCTATTCATCTTCTTTTCTCCTAGCCCTGACCCACATCAGAACCTTCTGGGCAGGGAAGCTCAGGCACTAGGGCACCAGGCAGGAGAAAAGACACACCCACAGGAAAGTGACTACAAGTATTTTACAAGCCACAGCAAACAAGTGTGAGTGCTGGCACTGGGCACACAGACCCAGTGTAGGTCCTGGGGACGTGAGGAGGGAACTGAGTGTGGGAGCAACCTCAAGGAAAAGGTGAGTCAGGCTGAGGCTTGGGGTAGAGAGGACAGGGCCACCTCTGCCAAAAGAAAACATAGTAAGATAAAGAATGAGGTTAAGATAGGAGGAGATGTGGGAGTAAGAGCAAACCATCAGATCTGAGTGGAGTTTCTGTCTTAGGAAAGGGCAAGGCCCAGCTGAGAGACTTGAGATCTGTCCTAAAGAAATGCAGGAAGTTTGTATTTTTGACTCTTTTCTCTGCTCCTTGAGGAGAGTAGAACTAACAACACAGAATAGAATGAAACTTGTGATGGTTTAGACTGATACCCTTATTGTTATTTTTTTATAGTGTTGGGGATCACACTCTTTACTAGGCAAACTCTATTACTGAGCTATACCCCCAACCTCAACATCCTCATTTTATAGATGAGAATGCTGAGGCCATTCAGAGAGGAAAAAATAGCCTATCTGAGGCCCCTTGGTCCCTGAGCCAAGGCAGAACCCTATATCAGGACTCGCTTTCTGTGTATTTTGGGACTTGCCTGAAAATGTCTAGAAAGGTAGTTTTGGGAAAACAGTTTCTTGTCCTTGAAATGCCTGATTAATAACCATCAGTGGCATGTCAAAAACTAGTGTCCAAATAAGGCATCTCAAAGGACAGCTTTGTTGTTCTTCTGGCTCCTGGGATCACTTGAGTCCTAAAATCCTAACCTGTTTTACTGTCTTCCCATAAGATGTAGAATCTTTGTCCTCTTTCTGATTTCATAATCTGAGTTCCTGATCATAAAACTGAGATCTACAGTACATAATGAATGGGAGAAAAAAGGAAACATCATATAAAGAAAAGTCTTTTAAAAAATACCCAATGGCAATATAATTTAAGTTGCTAGTAGCCAAAAAAGGAGAAGCTGGTATGGTTTGATATTGTGTCCGTTCCTTGGAGTGCTGGAAATGGGCTTCTCACAGGTTTGAGTCTGAGGAGGCAGATCCGACCAGTCAGAGTTCATGGTCAACTCAGATCCTGAGCTTGTGACATGGGCTTTGAGGGTCTGGGCGGGGCCTCCACTGGTTGCTGGGTGGTGAACTGTCACCACCCAGGTCAGAGTCCTGCTCCTTTCTCTCCAGGTGCTGCCTTGCAGCATTCTTGGGAATTTGACCCGGAAGCCAATTTCTAGCAGCCTTACTGCTCATGTGGGATTCACGCTGATTCCCACCAATCTATAAGGAAGCCAGCCTGCTGTTAATGACTTTATCTGCTTTTGGAACCCTTGGCCTCTTGAGCTCCTTTTTACATGGCTAGCTGCAGGCAGGAGAGCAATGCATTCTCCTTATCTATAAAGTGTCAGCACCTTTTCCAGATTTGTTTGCAAAGTGAAATTTTCTTTTCCCCTAAAGATTACATTTGGAAGTGTTTGTTTTTTGTTTTCTTGGGGGGTTTTTGTCATTTGTTGTTTGTATTTTTTTTAAGGTTTAGGGGATTCATTCTGCAACGTAAGGGGTTTTGTTTGCCCAGAAGTCTGCTGGAAGAGTTTCTTTCCCCCATAATCTTAATGACCATCATCATTTATCTCTAGATCTTTCCAAGTCAGGATTTGGCCCCGGGGAGAAGAGCTAGAAAGTGATAGGAAAGAGACCAGCTGAGATAACAGGACTGACTCTCAGTTAATTGGGTTTGATTTTGTTTTGTTTTCTGAGAGAGAGAGAGAGAGAGAAAAAGGGCAGCCCTGACAACCCCTCCTTCCCCTGTTGTTAGACTTGGAAATGTATCAGTGCCCTGTGTGCTTCTCCCCACGTGTAACTCTATTCTTTCATCAAGAACCTGATCAACTCCCCTGCCACAGTGAGGTACCTTTCTGCCTCCTTTTGTCTGGTGGTCTACCCAGCTGAATAAACTTCCCATCCTTTCTCTGTCCCCTCCAGCTCTCAGCTCTCCCCACTCCCCATGCATGATACTTAGAGATTCTAAGAATCTGGACATCCTTTGCAATTGTAGACAAAATTTATTGTGTATATGAACTAGAGCATCTTTCTGAAGAGAGAGGTCCTTGAAGAGAGTCTTAGTCAAATTTTCAAAAGGAGTCATGAATCAAACTACATTGAAAGAACCACTTGAACCCAGTGTGGTAATCCCAGAATTTAGGAAGCAGAGGCAGAGGCAGAGGCAGGAGCATCTCAAGTTTGAGGTCAGTCTGGACTACATAGGAAGTTCCAGGTCAGGCAGGGCTACCTACAGAAACCCTATCTCAGAAAACCAAAGAGAAGAAAGGAAAAACAATGAAAGAGTAAAAGAGAGAGGAAAAAAGAAAGGAAAGGGGAAGAAAGAGAGAGAAGAAAGGAGGGGAAAAGGAAGAAAGAAAGAGAGGAAGGAAGAAAAAGAATTACTTGCTCTAAGGAGTTAACTATGGTTGAATTTTCAAGTCCAGTCATTGTTATCTTTTTTTATTTATTTATTTTTTATGTATGTATGGTGCTTGGGTTTGAACTCAGAGCTTTGTGCTTGAGAGGCAGCCACTCCACAACTTGGGCCACAACTTCAGCTCTATGTCCAGTCAGTACTGCACTCATTCAATCTTTCCATGAGTGGCTGCCTGGCTGACCTCTGAATAAGACCAGTCCTGCATCCCTCCCAAGAGACAATGAGGTCCCTTTCCACTGTGATGACTTTAGGCTGGCTTCCCCTACCACTCAGCAGAGCTGCCCATACCCTCTGAAAGTCACTCACTATCATTCACTCAGCCTGAGCCCAACACCGTTAAGACCACACATCTGGGGGCTGGAGGGATGGCTCAAGTGGTAGAGCACCTGTGCAGCAAGTGCAAGGCCCTGAATTCAAACCCAGTGCCACCAAAAATAAACAAACAAAAAAACCCTACATCTGTGGCTAATAAAATGCTTTATTTTAGGACCTCATAAAAATAAGTCCAGGGCTCACTGGCTGTGTTAGCCACATTTATGTTTCTCTTACATAGTAAAGTAGGGGAGGTAACCTGTATAATGCAGCATGTCTGACTATTTTAATTGTGCTGTTTGGGTATTTTTCCTGTAAAAAGGTGCATTTTGTCCACACTTTGATAATTGGTCTTACCACCCTTCCTTACAAACTCAGCAGAAGGAAAGTGTCAACTTACCTGGGAAGGGAACTGAATGGGTAAGAACTTGCGAGAAAACTCACCCAGAAGGTTAAAAAATAATCTGAACTTCAATACCCTCAATGGCCAGAGATTTTTGTGTTTTGCATTTTCAGTTTACGAAACAGCCAACAACTCCTTTTCTCGAGCAAACTGAGGCTCAGCCTAGTTGTGTACATACAACACAACTATGTTGTGTACATACAGACAGTAGGTACTAGATCCAGGCTAGAGTCTAGTCCCATCTGGTAAATTACATCTAGAATTATCCTGGCAAGACTCAGGTGTGTCTGGTCCTGGAGCCTGCACCTTTTCATGATCTGGTGTGGCCTCCTGTGCAGGGACTTACCACAGCAGGGCTCCTCTCCGAGATACCCTCATGGAACTCTATGACTCATTTCCTATGATCCAGACCCAGAGGAAAAGTGAGGAAGCTCCTCTTAGGCCAGCATCCCAATACAGGAGTTAGAAAATGCCCTGGCTTCTCACTGGCTCATGCAGCCCTTCCCAGCCCAGGTCTCCCTACCCCGGACACCCTGGCAGAGACCCCCCCAGCCTCAGCTTTGGTGAGAGTGGGGCTTCATGACCATGGAGGGTCATGCATGTTTGTGTAGAAAGTGACATTTCAGTGTACCCAGTGCCATCATTCACTCATTCAACAAGTATTTAAGTGCTTGCTGTGCCAGGCACTGCTCCAGGAGTTAGCATTGTGAACTGTAAACAGAAAAAGCGCCCACTCTAAGGACTTGATCTTCTAGTGGGGATATCAATGGTACAGATGAACAGATATGTCTTCATGTCAGGTAACACTGTATGCTGTGAGGAAAGCATAGCCGGGTGATGGACAGAGACTTGTGGAAAGTGAGGGAGGCAGTCTCAGAAGTAAGAGGGAAGATGCCATAACAAGACTGTGCTTATGACATTCTGGGAAGAGGAAACAGGCCAGGCTGGTGGGGACATGAGCAGGGGTCAGAGTGGTAGGAAATGAGGCTATAGAGGGCCAAGGCCCAAGTCTGGAAGGCTATGTGGACTGTGACAAGAAGCCAAGTTTTATTCTGAATGTGTTGGGACAACATAGGGCTCTTGTAAAGGGTCAATCAGGCATCCACGTGGGGAGCAGACCCAGGATGGGTCAGGAGGAAGAGCAGGAAGACCATATGGTAGGAGGCAATTGCACTGTAGGCTCAGTGAAATAGGCAGGAAATGATTGAATTCATAGTCTGGTTTGACGTAGCACTCATAGGAGTTGCTGATGCATTGGGTATGGAGAGAGAGAAAGGGGACTGGAAGGGGGATCTGCACTCCATACTTTGTTACAGTCTTAATTTTCATGGAGGAATGAAGGTCAATGGTGATACCACCTACTGAAATCAGAATGAGGGGTCTGGGGGACAGTCAAAAGTTCCGTGCGTGTGAAGTTGAAAATGTCCACTAGACAACCCAAGAGGGCACATCACTCAGCTGCTATTTAGACACATCTGAAACTAAGAGGGGAAGTCAGAGATGGAGGTAGGACATAGGGAGCCCCCCACATGCAGAGGGCATTGGATGCTCTAGGGGTGGATGTGAATGGAGTTGGGATGAGGGAGGGAGGTAGAGACTAGCACTGAAAGGCAGGGGCAGAGCAGGGGTTTTTTGGAAGGAGAGACTATAAAGGAATGGCCACAGGGAGACAAGGAGGAACCCAAGAGAGGAAAGCATCCCAGAAGCCAAAGGGTAACAATTTCAAGAATGATCAGTATCAATGTGTCATATGCTGTTGCTGAAATCACATGAGCCTGAGTGTTGCCCATTGGAATTGGCAATGTAGAGATCACTTATTGGTTACCCTGACAAGAAGCGTTTGGGGAAGTGACAGCAACAACAGCCTCATCTGAGGCATACAGAGACTGAGTCACTTACTCCAGGTCACCCTGACTAGTTGGGAGGAAATCTAAACCCAATCCCTGAATCCTAACCACTGAGGTCCACTGCCAACAAGACCATAGGGCACTCTGTTGCTGAGCTGATTATGACCTACCCTTTTTTGGCCTCAGTTCTGCATGTTCTTCAGTTCACTCCCACTTTCATATTTATTCTTTCCGTATCATAGGCAGCTAATGGGTATTAACATTGAACTAAATAGATCTGCTATTTTTGTGGCTCAAAAACCCTTAAATATTGATGAATGGTAAAGTTCCACCTGATATAATCACATAAAGCACTTAAATAGTGCATACTGGGATAAGTACCCAGTAAACATCACCTATTATTTTACAGCTCACTGCTCTTTCACTCTTCTACTGAGATGATGTTATTCCCATTTACCTCAAGCTCAGAAAAGTTCAGGAACTTATCCAAGGACTCATGGTCACTAAACAGAAGCCAGAAAGAAGCTCAAGTTTCCTGTCTAGAAACTGCTCTCTGTGCTAGCATGCTGCTTGCTGTCTGCCAGAGAAAGGCAGAAGGAGAAATGGGCCATCCTGGGAGAGACTAGAGCCGGGCCCTTCTGCCCGGCCCTTGTAGGGCTCTTGGAATCTCAGACCAGCTCCCAGAAGCTTTCTCCCAAGACCCAGGGTCAGAGCCCAGGGATCCCACCTCTTAGAAGAGATCATATGAAAACTGCTGCCCTACAGGATTTGCATACTGAGCTAGTCCAGGAGTAGAAGGGGTGAGGCATTGTCCATATAAGGACAAGTTTCCCTCTCTGCAAAGGCCCCCACCACGCACTTCTCTATACCTCCAGTCTTCCTGGGGGCACAACCAGGCCAGCAAAGGACTCCAGCCCTGGGGCCTAGATCTAGAAATGAAGTTCAATTTCATCACAAAATGATGAAAATATACAGAAAATACAAGCTGCTCTCAAAATTTTATTACTATTATTTTTATCCCCTGGGCAGCCATGTGAGCACAAAGCTGGTTTTGATTAAGTGTGTGGTCCTTCCAGCCTATTCCTCACTGTGGTTCTCACGGAGACCTAGTGGTTCAGCATCTCTGGCCAGGACCCATGGTGCAATACACAGCCCCCACAGTGCTGGCACTTTAAGGGGGGGGTGGGGTCCCCTTGGGACTTCAGGTCTGGTTTGAAAGGGAAATTTGAGCCCTTTTCCTCACAGCCAGATGGAACGATAAGGTGCAGTCTAAATTTCTGAAAACCAGACTCAAAGCACAGCCCAGAGCCTTGCACTGACACCTCCAGTGAACACTGAGACAATGCAGAGGCTGACAGGGGCTGATTGCAGGGCTTTCTGTAGGTGGAGAATGTTAATGACCATTCAGAAGGCAGCGAGGGAATGTGGCTAACTGTTCTTTTAGGCAAACCACACTTCTCAGCAATCCAAAGCACTCTTGCATGCCTTCTCTTGTCTGGGCCTTGAGATGCTGTGAAGTAGAGAAAGTAACAGTGGTTCCCTTTGTACAGATAGGAAAGCAAAGACATGGGGCAGTTTAAATGATTTGCCCAAGTTCTCAAGTACTGATGACAAGGACAAAACTAGAACTCTTCTTTCTCAGCCTGTGACCTCATACAATGATCCTGGGAAGCAAAGCCCAGCAAGACCCCAAAGGAGAGAAGTAATCTCAGGCCCTGCTGCCCTTCTTTCAGAAACTCAAGAAAAATGGGCCTCGCATCCTTTGTTTGCTTGTGCCTCCATTTACCCATCAGAAAAAGAGCCCTGTTTTTCTTTCCCAGGCTGTATGCTCTAGGACTCACCAGGAGAATGACAGTGCTGAATGAGCAATGCTGGACTAGGTATAAGCTCTAGCCTCTACTCCTCCCCAAAACAGGTGCAAGTGAATAAAGAAAGAAATTCTGAAGCATTTTCTTTAAAGTCCCAAGGGACTTTCTGTTCCTCCACCCATGTGTCCACATGGAATTAGTGCCTTGAGATACAGGCAGCCCCCTAAAGCTTGTCATTACCAGCTCTGGATGGCGGGGACCCTGGACTCACCACCTCAGGCTCCTTTGCTCTTACAGAAGATGGGGTGAGATATGGTTGAAGTGCAGTGGGGAAGTGGGTGAGGGTAGGGTTGGGTTACCAACCACTGCTTTAAAAAAGACTTCTTCCATTTTTGTTCCCTCACCCATTCCTTGTCATGTACTGCTACGAAGTCCTACTTAAGGCTCAAACTGAATCATTTGTACAGTTGCAAGTTTATGACATCCAGCTCTGTCTTTTATTATTTTTTAAATTATTGTGATTAATTATTGTAGGATTTGAAGCAGAGACACAGGACAATTTAAATAATTTGTCCAAGTTTTGAATCAGGGCCTCAAACTTTCTAGGCAAGTGCTCCACTACTTAAACCACACCCTAGTTCTTTTGCTTTTAGTTTGTTTTCCAGATAGGGTTCGAGCTAAGTTTGCCCAGACTGGCCTCGAATCTCCATCTTCCTACCTTTGCCTTCCAAGTAGCTGGGACCAAAGGCATAAGCCATCACACCCGGTCCTCAGCTGTCTTCAGTGAGGCCCCACAACCCTGAGGCCTCTGAGCTGCCTCTCAACTGAGCCTGCACAGTGCCTGGCTCATGGAGAAAGGCAGGCATTTGGTGGGAAAGGAAGCCTAACTGGTGTTAGGCCTCAGAAACAATCCTGGGTAGAGGGACTTGGGTGGGCAGAACCACATTCTAGAGCAGGCCATCTAGAAGAGAACTGCATCTAGGTGAGCACTCAGAGAGCCCATGAGCTGGGAAGAGTTTGTCTCCAGCCCCTGCAACTCCGTGTTCCCTGTGCCCAGCCCTCAAAGCCTCAGGGGTCCAGTCTGGGCCAGATAAGCCCGGGCTGCCCATCCTAAAGGCGGGGACAATGCAATGGCCCTTTCTCTCAGCCAAGCCACAGGAATGTGACCAAAGCCCCAGCTGGAAAGTCCCCCCCCACCACCTTCCTCCCTCTGAGCTTCCTCTTCAGGAGCAGGAAAAGGAGGACAGGAAGGGGCTTAGGGGGAGGTGCCCTCACAGCCAGTCCCCAAAGAATGTTCTTTGTGAAAGGAAAGCCAGTGAAGACTCTGGAGCCAGTGATAGCTGTTCAGCTAGCAACTTCTTATCTGAATCCTGGGTGGTTTCCCCGCAACATCTTAAAGTCCACTCCAGGGAGGGCCTTTTCTGCCCAGCCCCACCCAGCCCAGAGTGCCAATTTCCTACTGCTCCACAAGGAAGGGTTTTCTCTGGTATTATTAGAACCTTGCCTTGACATAGAAGAGGGAACTTGGAGCAGAGGCCTAAGGGATGGTGCATCCACCTACCCAGCATCTCCAGTGCTGCCCACCAGGCCGTAGCTGCAGGGTTTCACCATGCCTACCTTGGACAGAGGTAGTAGAAGCCCCCAAATGAGTCATGGCCATAGTCTCAGGGAGAGGCATGCCAGCTACCTGCTCTGAGGCCTTTGTCTGGCCTGTCCTGGCCCAGTGTGAAAACAAGTCTGAGAAATCAGAGGCTGCAAGTGTCCTCCAATCCATGTGCCTAAGGGCAGGGACCACATCCCCTCCTTCCATTATGTGAGACCTCTGCCTCTGTGGAGAGCCTTTTGGAAGTCTAGAACATTTAGCTGAGTGAACCAAGATCCAAGGATGGAAAATATGGGGTGAGCCCTCCTGAGGTAGAGGACTGCCAGGACCCCACCTGCACCATTCCTGGTGGCCTGTTGCTGCAGCGGGAGCATTAACCAGCATCATAGTCTGTCCATCCATCTTGACAGGCAACTGCTCACCACCTGATTTATCAAGCCCTTGCTGCAGGCTCTCTGTCTTTGGTGCTCCTATGGAGGATGGGCCAGTTCAGGCGCCACTCTGCTCAGCAGGCACAGAGGGCCTCAGAATGGAATGCAGGGTGGGTGGGCTGTCACCGGGTGGAGGTGGGGTTCTGTCTGAGGTGCCTCCTCTGCTCAGATCCTTGGATGGCTGCTGACTCATGTTTGTGTTGCCTGTTTTGTTCCAGATGCTCCGGCCAGTGAGAACACCAAGGCCCCGGAGATGAAATCCCGGAGGTCCAAGAGCTCTCTTCCCCCTGTGTTAGGAACAGAGAGTGAGTATTTGCTCGGCTTCACCATGTGAAGGCAGAGATACCCAGGACAGGAGTAGTGTCAGAGCCCCTGCCTCCTGGTCATCCACTCTAACTTGAGCTCCTCCTCTAGTACTGGCTTCTTCCAGTATCCCAGAGTGCCCAGTGACCTCCTGGTAGTCCAGCCAGTGGCCTTTCCTCTCCTCCCTAGACTCTACCCAGTCTATCTACAGCTTGGGGGTGTTGTACATCCACAACTCCCCCAACCTTACTCACACCCTTTTGACTTGTCACTGAGATTAAGAGCTGCTCCTAATTTTCCCAGTTGACTCTGCCCTGCCAGGGAACTTCCTAAATGGTAGCTCTGACCTTCTCACTCGGGCTGAAATAGCCAGTGGTCTCCAGCACCTAAGAAATCCCATACAAGTGAACCTCTCCCATGTTTATAGCCTGGAGAGACCTACCATGAATATGCACATGGGACTTAAGTGTGCCCTGGCTACCAACACTCTTTCCAGCTCTGCCCCAACTCCCTTATGCCTATTTTATACTCAAGCCAAACAAAGCTTCTTACTGACCACTGATCTTCCTGTGAACTCCTTCTTGAAGCCTTTGTTCTCACCCTTCTCTCCATGGAACACCTTTCTGTTTACACTCCCACTGCAAAGCAACCTCAGCTCCGAGTTCTTCCCCACTTCCACTCAAAGAAACTCTTTCCTGTGAGCTCCCAGCACCTCCCTCTTCTACTGACTGTCCCCTTCCCAGCATCATGGCAATGCACCCTGTGTCCTGAGATGCTTTCCAAAGGCCCTAGCCTGGGCCTTGCTCAGGGAAGGCCCTCACTAGTGTCTCTCAGAGTCAGATCACAGTGCAGTGTAATTAGCCAAGGGAGAAAGGAAACCATGGCCTCTCTCTCTCTCTCTCTCTCTCTCTCTCTCTCTCTCATTTCTCTTGGCTTCCCCATGACTGACTTAGCCATTAGGCACAATGCCTAGGGTCCATATTGCTTTTATGGACCCACAAAAAATGTACCATCTTACAAAATTAGAAGAAAGAAATGAACTGTTAGTTCTAAGACAATGTTATTAATTTATTGTTTATTCATCTTTATACCAGAGCAGTTATAAAGTATAACTTACATAATTAAAATTATACACACACACACACTTTTTAATGGAGGAAGGGGCCATGAAGGCAGAAGTGCCTAGAGTCCTCCAAAGTCAAAATGTAGCCCTGGCGTTCCCTATGGTACCAGTCTGAAACCAAACTGTCCTTTGGCACCTCCAATTTTAACAGGGCACAGAGTTATTTTGCACATCCCCAGCACACCCTACACTTTAAAACAAACAGAAGTCAATAGAGGAAAGCAATTGAGCATGATTACTTCAAAAACCACTTCTCTTTTTCCATTACAAAGCAGTGTTTTTATGACTTTGCTTTACTTCTTTTCTTTGTAAAACAATGTATTAACCTTCCAAATACTGAGTTTGGGTTCCTTGGACAGAGTTGGGCCAAATCAAGGCAGGGTGGAAGAATCCTCAGTATGGTGGGGCAACCAAAATGAAATTATGATTTCTCATGGGTATTTAACCAAAGTGAGTTAAATGACTGCAAAAATAGTGGAGGAGCCACTAGTAATGAGCCTTGACTGTTAACAGTGGACATTTAAAAAGCAATTCTAAGAAGAACCTAGTAGAAATGAGTTAGCAGTTTATTCTCCAAAAGTATTACCTGGGCCCTGCTATGCTAGGTGTGGGGAAATGTGAGCAGAGGAGATGTCACTCTTAGAAGACCAACAGGAATTGTGGTGTGGTTGGGAGAGGGGTTACATGATGATTCCCCTCTTGGGGACAGAAGCTCAGCCACTCCTGTCCTCAGCTCTGGAAACCTGTTCCACTGCAATCCAGGGGGAAGTGAGGCAGGGTCAAAGGAGAGCTGTGGAGGAGAAAAACAAGTGTGAGACAATGAGCAGACACAGAGCTGGGCTCTTTGCCCTGGAGAGCAGGAGACTGTGGAAAACCCCAATCAAGTTGTCATTGTCAAAGTGGGGCCCCAGCTGGCAGCCCTGCTATGTATTAGATTCACCTGGGGAGCTGGGACACCACCACTGCCTGGCTGCCCCCCCAGGCTAATTAAATCAGAGCCTCGGAAGTGGGAGTCCGGTTTTAGGGTTTGTTTATATTCCAGTGTGTGGTCAAGCTGGAAAGCAGCTCTGGAGAAAAGTATGGACCCACTCAGGGTCACTCACACCAGCACCTTCGGAATGTCTCAGAGCCTATGGTGCGAAGACAGGGAAGGGACAGGCAGAAAGTGCCTCAACTCCATAAAAAATGCACACATTCAGACAGGAATAACTCCATAGCAATTTGTCAGCAAGGGGAGTTTCCATAGGCAGCCTCCATGATGGAGTAACAGACTGTCACCCTCAAATTGTGGGAGTATGTCTCCATAAACCACTGATCACTGCTTCCCTTTGTGGCCCATCTACCCAGGCCCCATCGGCCCAAACCTGTTACCACTGAAGGCCTTACACATGGCTCCAGCTGCTCTTCTCCTGCACACATCTGCGCTCTTGTCCTTCAGAAACCTGCATCCCAAGTGCCTGAGGGACACCATGGGGCTTGGTTCCCGGAGCCTCCTGAAAAGGTGGCTGTCCAGAGATGGGAAATGAAGATGTCTTTTAGGTCTATACCCCCCATTCTTTTCTCCCTTTGTGGGGTCATTTATTGTTTATTAATACATAAGTTATATGTGTACACATTCTTAGTTAAGCAGTGTAAGCAGGGTAGAAACATAACAACTACAAGAAAATCTTCTACCCCCAATTTCACTCACTCCACAACTATATTCAGTTACTTTTTTCTGCGCATGTATATGTATATATATATGTATATGTATATATATGTATATATATATATATATACACACATATATGCAAATATGTCAGTTGGATTTTTTTCCCATCAAAATGGAATCATGCAGTCTGTGCACCTCTGCCACATGCCTTTTTCTTTTAGCGTTAGTTTGCAGTCCCAGACACGTCCACTTCCTTGAGTGGTCTGGTTGTGTGTGCATGCATGTGGTGCAGGTTTGTCAAGGGCCAAGAAAAAGCTAATCTAAAGAGGAAATCTATCTTTCCTGAGGAAAGGGAAGAACCTTTCCTGTCAAAACAGAGCATAGCCAGATCCTTTTGTGTGTACCCTCCATCAGAATCACTTGGTTCTGTGAGCCGACTATCCAGTGTGAGAGAGGAAGGACAGTGCTGTCCTCACTGTGGCCTGGGAGCCCCTGGAGCCTCACTGCTGTGGAGCATGAAGGCAGAAGCCAAGTCAGTCTGCCCCCAACCCAAATGACAAAGTGTGAGTTAAGCTGCCAGACACTGACTCACAAGCACAGCAGAAAGGTGGGGGTAGTTTGGGAGGGTTTGAGGGTGAGGGAAACTTGGAGCCAGGTTATGAAGAAGGAGAAGAATGTAGTTTATGTGGTTTGGTTGAAGAGGAATGATAACATTGGCGGTGGAGGGGAGGCAGGCAGGAGCTTGGAGAAGAAACTGCATAGATGCTAGAGTGACAGCTGTGTGGGCAGCTGAGTTGTACAATACGAGTTTTCTGAGTTCCTAGGCAGCAGGCACTGTCTTCAGTGCCCATCTATGTTGATTCAGTCAAATTTGACTCCACCGTGCTACATATAATTGTGGTTCCTGTCTTATAGAAGAACAAAACTGAGGCTTTGAATGAAACTGTCCTGCCTAGTGTCTCACAGCTAGAAAGGAGTGGTACTGTGATACCAACCCTGATCTGTGTTCCTGCCACAAGCCCTAGGGCCTTACTTTGTGCTGTCCACATAAGGCTGGGTCATGCTTTCCTGGCCCATAGGGGCAACAGGAGGAGGTGGGGACTGGCCAATGGGACTGGCAGAGGTCTGATTGTCATTGGAGCTGGGGGAACAAAGGCAGCAGCTGACACTCATCACTGTCAGGGTGTTTACTGCGTGCCTGTCAATGGGATTTTTTTAAATAAATATTTTGATATCATTTCACAGTTTTGGAAAAGTTTCAAGAATGGTATAAGGAATTCTTGCATACTTTTTACTTAAGAGTCACCAATTGTTTCCATTTTATTCCATTGTTTTATCATTCTGTATATATTCACATATATTTATTTAGATAAACCCCATTTTAAACCAAATTAGAGATACCATGCTCTTTTTCTTCCAACTCATTGTGTATCTTCTAAGAATATAACCACAATTCAGTGTTGAAATCAGGAAATTTGACATTGAACCTATATTGTTATTTAATCAATCTACAGTCACCCTCCATTTTTGTCAGTTGGCCCAATAATATCGGTCATCCTCTTGAAGGAAACTTAATACAAACATCCCTGGAACCCCTCAGCTACTTCTCCAGCCCAGAGTGGGTCCTCTCCTATTTTGGAGACAGAACAAGGAAAAGTGCACAGGACCTGGGAGAAGCACTCCAGAGTCCTCAACCTGAGCTGAGTGAGGAATGGGGAGACAGGAAGACCTCACTGAATCTCCAGATGCCGATTTGCTATGACCAGTTCTGGGGCATTTCTAGAAGACATAGCAAGAAGGCTGTGGGGCTAGAAAGTAGGAGATAAAGGTCTTTGTTCTCCCACTAATTAAACATGTGGCCTTAGTCAAAGCCCTGCATCCCTCTGGACTATGGTTTCCTCACTGAGTGATGGGCAGCTTCTCTGACTGACTTTTCCAGCTATGGTAGGCCACTGATGAAAGGTTTTGAGGAACACAGCTCAGGTGAAGCTGGATAATTCTTCATCCTATCACCTGGTATGTGGAGTAACCTGAAGCTACAGCAAGCATAGCTGAGGATACACAGCCGTAGAACTACCCTATAGGGAAGGAGGTCTTGCATGAAAAGAGTACGTTCATGGTTTCCTACCTGGAGGGGGTCTGATTGGCTGGATAATTTCCTGGGAGGTTTGTATGGAGGAAGACAAGTATGCTGCCTGTGTGAAGGACAGATCAGATCCATGGGGGTT